TTTTTTTTTAACATAATGTAGTATTACTCTCCCATAAAGCAGGACAAGCTTGAGACATTTCTGGCCAAATGGATGCACCTTGGGACTATACTCTTAAATGAAATAAATTGGAAATGTGTACCACCTTGTTTTTCTTGTGTAAGAAGCTGAAAATGTAAATAAGGACCAAAATGTATATTAAATATTACAAAATATTCAAATGGGAAAAGGTTCTAGGGAAGGGGAAGGAGGAAAGCAAAAAAAGAAAAAGAAAAAGAAAAAATGGGAAAAGAAGGAAAAAATGGAAACAGCCTTATAAGTACATGAGGGGACGAGGGGCTGCAGAGCAAGTGGGGGTGGGAAAGAGAATCAAGATAAACCGTGCAGACGCACAAGTTCCCCAGGATGGACGTGATCGCTGTGTAACCCAAGGTGTGCCAATGAGCTTCATTAAGAACAAAGGAAAACCATTCAAATAAGAATGGAGGGAAATATTAAAATGTTGACAGAAAGTGGACAACCACCTAAAATTCTACTTCTAGCAAACTGCCCTTTCAAAGTTAGTGAGAAAGACAAACTCAAAAAAACAAACTGAAGGAATTCATCACCAGCACATCTGCTCAGCAAGAATTTCTTTTTAATTTCTATTTTAAAAGAGTACAAAATTATTATTGAAGCAGAAAAATTACAAATGATACAGAATTTCACTAAACAAAATACTATGAATTTCAAAATATTTGTTGTATTACATAATGTTGTCTTCAAATTAGTTGATCATATTACCTGGTAGATGCATGCAAAAAGAATATATAAGAAAGAAAAAGAATAAAAGAAGAAAGAAAAAGAATATATAAGAAATTAAGAAGAGAAAAAGGTCAGAGTTGAAAAAGGGAGACAAAACAAATTAAACACTAAGTGCTCTGGTCCACAGACCAGCAGAAATCCACAGTATAGCTGCCCAAACCATCCTGCTTACATACATAGATATATGTCTTCCCCACTCCCCTTCTGTCCTCTTCAACTCAGCAATTCCTTCCTTTTGAACAGGTTCTTTCCTTTTTCCCCCGTATCTATTGTACTGGTCAGATTTCATTTTCTCTTTGAGTTTCTTACGCTAAGGAGACAATATGATGTTTACACATGCAGGTCTGATTTATTTAACTTAAGAGTATGGTCTCAAAAAAAAAAAAAAAAAAGAGTATGGTCTCTAGTTGCATCCATTTACTGATAAAAACCTCAAATTTATCCTTTTTATAGCTGAATAACACTCCCTTGTATAAAAATACACATCTTCTTTATCCATTTCTCAGTTCATTGGCATAAGGTTGTTTCAAAGATTTAGCTATGACAAATGTGCTGCTATACACACGGATGCACATACATCGCTGTGGTATGATGTTTTCAGTTCTCCTGGAAAAATACCCAGGAGGGAAACAGCTGGATTGAATAGGACCTCCAATCCTAGTTTTCTGAGGACTCTCCACATTGATCTCCACAATGGTTGTACCAGTCTTTGGCAAGAAATATTTTAAAGGCTCTCTAAGAAAAACAAAATAATCAGAATATAAAACCAAGTTCTGGGCCAGGGAGATGGCTCAGTAGAATAAGTGCTTCCCTGGCAAGCGCAAGGGCCTAAGTTCAATCCCTGGTTGCAAA